ACAGACAGTGCCTTACCCTGGTGTGTAACAGTGCAGGTGTTTCTCTGTGAAGCACAGACCAGAACTCCAAGGCTATGAGTGACATCTGCAGGCACCTTCTCACATGTACTTCTCCTTCTTTCTCTCCTTCAGGGAACAACAAGCTGTCAGTGACAGTAGGTAACAGTGCTGTGCTCACCTGCCCTCCCAGATCAAATATAACTGTGGTAACATGGAAAATAATCCCCAATGTTGAAGGACCCTGCACCTTGGGATACAGGGCTGATCAGAACAAGACAGACAGAACAAACTGCAGCGACAGCATGAACTGGAAATTCAGACCAGACTGGAATCCTGCCCTTGAGATACAGAACGTGGGAGTAGCCCATGAGGGAAATTACACCTGCGAAGTAGCAGCCACAGAAGGGAATTTCCACAAGACGTACCACCTGTCCGTGCTGGGTAAGGGACTCCTTCCTCATTTTACAGTTCTCCAAGGGACCGTGTCTGGGCCTGGACATACAAAACTCCTCTCCTCATGCATTATAGTAACTGAATATACTAACAGAGGATTCTGCATATGCAGCCAGTTATCCTGTAGAATCAATCATTAATACTCTAATTTAAGAGAACTAAAGCACGCAAGAGTAACACTTCCAAGTCTGAGATATTCAAACATGGGATGTTCTTATCCAGACAGTAGGAATAGACCCACTTCCTCTTATGTGGCATTCAGATACATTTTAAACCATGTGTACAAGGGCTGGTTAGGACAAAAGCCTAATTCAAACTGTGTTTAGGATAATAACTTCCTGTAATGGATTGGCACCTCCAACCTCATTCTCCTCTTTTCACTGTGTTTATTTTGGGTAGAGAACAAGAATATCCTATCCCAATTAACAAACTAACCTCATCCATCTCCCTTTCCTGACGATTTGCAGTGCCCCCCAGGCTGACCTTGTACTGTGATGAGCATGGGAACCTCATGTGCGAGGCAGCAGCAGGGAAGCCGGCTGCTCAGGTCTCGTGGGCCCTAGAGAGCCACTCCACCCCCAAGGAACAAGGCCATGACAACGGGACAGTGACTGTTCTCAGCAAGTTCACAGCCCACAGCACCAACATAACTAATGCAACCTGCGTTGTGTCCCACCCAGCTGGGAACCAGAGCGAGTCCATAGCCTGTCCTCCCCCAAGTAAGTTTT